GATATATGGAGGGGATAATAATCAATGTAATGAAACAAGCTATATGAATGGTTGAATGTGAAGCTGATGATGTGCCCTGTAAACTTGCACTCAATGCACAATAAAAACATTTAAAAAATAAAAAAAACACAAGTGAAGACAACAAAGTCAGCTTCCATCCCAGCAGCACTGCAGAGTCTAAATCAACCTCTGGAAGTGACTTCAAGGCATCCACACCCCCGCTCGCTTACCTCCCACCAAGACACCAAGGAAGCAACTAAAAAAATCTATCTGCTACAACAGGAAATAACAGCATTAGGAAGTTCTTCAAGATTATGTGTCCAGTCAGTACCCTAGAGTCAGGAAGGTGACCAAGAATCCCCTCCCGCAGATAAATATCCCTAAAATAGAACCTGACAGTAATAAGATTAAAGAGCCCGGGTGATGACGTTAATCACAAGGTCGGTGGTGGACATAGATAGGACAGTGGTGGACATAGATAGGACAGTCTGCTTCTGTAAAGATTGCAGCCTTGGAAACAATTCTACTCTGTCCCAAAGGTTTGAATAGGAATCGACTCAACAGCAAATAATGCTACATAAAACATGCACACTGCAGAATGTTGACTACACACATGGACACACCCTGTTGTTATGTGCACGACTGACATGCTTCGAGCACATGATACATATTTACAAGGTTTGTAAAATTCAGGAGTCTAGAGGAGCTTCTGAAACATACTACAGCTGGCGGGAAGCCTGGACCCTTACGGCACTGCACCTTTAAACCCCTGAAGCCTCTCTACTGAGAGAAAAAACCTCCAACACCAATGTGTGTAGCACCGTTCTTGCCACTTCCTATAGTCAGTCACGTAATTACACACGGTAAACATGCCGAGTAAAAACAGACAATCCTGAGAGCCACCCACACTGCAGGACTCCAGTGCTGGAACCACAAAGTGAAGGTGCTACAGACGAGGTTAGAGGCTGCCCACCATGTGGGGAAAGGCTCTGTACCCTGACCACGCTGTCATCGCTGTCCTGGGCAGAGTGCACAGAGCACACCAATTTCCTACAACCGTCTATGAAAACGAAAATGTCCGGTCTTTTCTGCCACCTAGTCACTGGAAACGGTCATCAAGGGATCCTGCTCTTCAGAGAGCAGAAAGGACACGTGCAGAGGCCCCTCAGGGTTTGCCCACCCTGTGGTCACTGGGGGTGCTCCAGAAGGCAGTTTGCCCAGGGGCGCCCAAGTCCTCCAGTCCTCAGGCTGGGGAAAGATGGGGTAGCACATAAAACCATGGTAGGATCACATCTGATTTCCAACCAGCCTGTTACAGACTGGAGCGAGAGACGCCTTCAAGCACCATGTGCATGTGGGCTGCTTTTCTCTTCTAGCTCCTTGACACAAATTAAGGGATAGCTCTTACCTGGGGGTGTCACTAAAGGGGGGCCTACAAGGGTTCGAAAGCTCTAGCTAGCTGGGCGCTAACTCCCACTCTGCTTACCCCACCTCCAACAGCCCTCACTGCAGCACCTGATGGCCAAGCTTGAGCAGCTCTGGTTCTGTCTCCTTATTGTCGTTAACCTACCTTAACCTGACCAGTGCCAGGTGCTATGTGAGCCAAAGGTACAAAAAATGAGCAGACAGCCCCTAACCCATCACTTCTCAGTCTGCAAGTACACCAAGGGGTGTTCCAGGTTCACAGCCCCACTTCAATGAGCACGCATCTCAATCTAAATGAATCCTCACCACTCAGGCCTCCGTCAGACCCCCAGAACACAGCCTACACAGAGGAGGGTCTGCTCGCCATCAAATAAGTGCCTAGCACATTCACAAAACCCTCCAAATCTGACTCAGTCACCCTAAAGGCCAGAGCAGAAGCATCCCATATGGTGTCCCAGGCTGTCACCTCTACATAAACAAAACAGTCACATCTGCTGACACGTTTCAGTGAGTAGCTGAGTGTCCAACCACATCCCACCTCCACCCCAGCCAGACAAGTGCATCGGAAGCCCCCCCCCCCCCGAAAGCAGGGACCGCCGCAGCCCCCCCCCCCCCCACTCCATGGACCAACTGGAGGGACCATTTCCCACTGACCTCAGCTTCTTTCTTCCTTGTCCGGACTTTCTCCACCTCCATGAGAATCTTCTGGGACTCATCCACATTCCCTTCTGCTCCCAGCTGCTCTGCTTTTGCAAGGAGCTTTCCTATTTCTTCGTTCAACTCGTGTACTTTCTCTGCCTGAGAAGAGAGAAGAGTGAGGTTCGCAGACGCCAAAACCCAGGACTTTTCATGCAAAGTAAACAAGTGTTTCAATCCCAGCACATTCTCACCAGTGAGGCCCATGTGCACACACTTGCCCCACGCCCCAGGACACAGGCAGCTCTATACACTACAACCACCGCTGCCCTGTCAGCTGGTCAACTACTATGGTAGTTTGCATGCTGCTGTGATTCTGGAAGCTATGCCATGGGTATTTTAAATCCCAGCAGGGTCCCCCCAACGGTGGACGGGTTTCAGCTGAGCTTCCAGATGAAGATAGACTAAAAAGGAGAAATGAACTACTTGCGAATATTCAGTCACTGAAACCCTTTTGAATAGCAATGGAACACTGTCAGCACCAGAATATTGTCAGATATACTGCTGGAAGATGAGCCCCTCAGGTTGGAAGGCACTCAATATATGACTGGGAAAGAGCTTCCTCCTCAAAGTAGAGGTGCCCGTGATGACACGAATGGAACAAAGACTTCAGGACCTTCATTTGCTGATGGGGCACAACTCAAAACAGAGAAACAGCTGTAATTAATAATTGGAATATGGAATATACGAAGTGTGAATCTAGGAAAATTGGAAATTGTCCAATATGAAACAGAACACATAAACATCGATATCCTAGGCCTTAGTAGGCTGAACTGGACTGGTATGGACCATTCTGAATCTGACATCCACAAAGTTAACTATGCCGGGAATGACAAACTGAAGAAGTACAGCGTCACATTCATCATCAAAAAGAACCTAACCAGATCTGTTTTGAAGTACAACACTGTCTGTGATAGGATAATATCCATATGCCTATAAGAAAGACCAGTTAATGCCACTGTTATTCAAACTTACACATCAATCACTAAAGTCAGTGATGATGAAATTGAAGAATTCTATCAACTTCTTCAGTATGAAATGGATCAAACATGCAATCAAGATCTATTGATAATTACAGGCAACTGAAATGCAAAGATTAGAAAGATCAGTAGTTAGAAAATAGCCTTGGTGATAGAAACGATGCTCTAGATTCCATGATAAGAGTTTTGCAAGACCAATGACAACTTCACTGGCAATACCTTTTTTAAACAACATAAAAAAGACAACTATACACATGGAATACAGAATCTGTGAAAACAGAGGGTGGAAAAGTTTCCTAAAGTGAAAACAAGTCCAGGGGCAGACTGTGGAACAGACCACCAACTGCTCATATGCATGTTCAGACTAAAGTTGAAGAAAACTGAAACAAGTCCATGAGAGCCAAAATATCTATCCCACCTGAATTTAGGGATCATGTGAAGAACAGAGTTGATGCATTAGACTGAAGACCAGAAGAGTTATGGGATGACATTAAGAACGTCATATAGAAAGAGAGCAAAAGGTCACTAAGAAGACAAGACAGACCAAAATATATGTCAAAAGAAACTCTGAAACTTGCTCTCCAATGAAGAAATGCTAAAGCAAATGGAAAAATTGAGGTAAAAGAGCTGAACAGAAAATTTCAAAAGGCAGCTCAAGAAGACAAAGACCCGGAGTTAGAAAATCAAAAGGGAAGAATGCACTCAGCATTTCTCAAGATAAGCTGAGGGAACCAAAGAAAAAATTTCAAGCCTTGATTTGCAATACTGAAAGATTCTATGGGCAAAATATTGAAGGATGTAGAAAGCATCAAACGAAGATGAAGGAATGCACAGAAAATCACTGTACCAAAACGAAATGATCAATGTTCAACCATTTCAAGAGGGAGCAAATAATCAAGAGCCGGTGATACTCAAGGAAGCCGCCCACAGTGCATTGGAGGCACGGGCACAGAACAAGTCACCAGGAATCGATGGAATACAAAGGGAAATCTTCCAACAAACGTATGTAGCCCTGGAGGCAAACACAACTCCAGCACTCCATTCCAAAGAGAGGTGACCCAACAGCTAGGGACCTTCAATGTACCACGACAGTGAGGCTGGCACATGACTGGGCAGTGCTTTCCTTCTATTGTGCACAGGGTCACAGTGAGATGGCACCAAACAACATATGCTACAAGCGAAAAGCCCAAGTTATTGGCCTTCCCTCTCAGCACCTTCAGTCCACCCGTTGTAAGAGCGCCCTTATGCTCACAAGGAAAGGAGTCGCTGCCCACGGGGGGCTGCAGCAAGAGCACAGCTGGCTCAGCCACAGCCCTCCACAGTGGGAGGAGCGCACAGCCTCCCTCCCCGAGGGTGCCCTGTGGCAACCATGTGCAGTAGTAGCCACCGGAACCCACCTTGGCTGAAACCTCAGCGCTGATCTCCTCCTGGGTCTCTGCGAGCCGCTTCTTGGCCAGTTCCGTTCTGCGGTCACACTCGGCAATGAAGGACTCCAGGTGATCCATCGCCTAGTTGGGAAAAGCAGAGCAATGTGACCTCGAGCTGCTAGGAAGGACAGATCTGCATTAGTACCAGAGAGCTGCAGGTTCAATGGGTTGACCCCAGGCTCCCTACAGCCAATCCGCCTGCTTTACCAGGGGAAATCAGAGGGGGCTGCCGAACCCAACTGGCCACTTACAGCACTTGGACTTAATCAGTCTCACTAACCCTCACTAATGACAAGACCCTCTTCTGAAGACAGGCAGCAGGAGGTGTGCATACATACTTGCAGGTCTCTGCTAGTCCCATGATCTAAGAGTTCCCCCACTTCCACCTCAAAAAACAAGACAGAACAAAGATTATTGAGAGCTGTATAAACACTCTGCATACAACAGCAGGAGACTAGTGACTAGCTACCCAAAGAGACACAGGACAAGACACTCTGAAAAGAGAGACTGCTGGTAAGAAACAGGAAGAAACGGACTAAGTGGATGCATATGCTCAACAGTTAATCTGCCAAAACTTGGCAAAAGCTGAAACAGAACTCAGATCCATACACAGAGAAGGGACATCGCTTTTCCAGTCGGCAGAAAGGGAAGATTGTTAGCAGCAATAAGAAATACAGCCAATGTAAAAACCTTCCCTAAAAGCCGAGACTGTAAATTCCAATAAGTCAAGTCCCCCCCCATCCAAAAAAAAAAAAAAAAGCTAAAGAGGATAGAGAGAAACACTGTAAACTGATGATATATGGAGGGGATAATAATCAATGTAATGAAACAAGCTATATGAATGGTTGAATGTGAAGCTGATGATGTGCCCTGTAAACTTTCACTCAATGCAAAATAAAAACATTTAATTAAAAAAAGAAATACAGCCAAGGTTATACACACAGCCTGTTCATGTCAGCACCATTTTAAATACTGCAAAGTGAGGGCAACAGTGTCAGTGTGGGTGGCAGGGTCAGAGGGTGACTCAGCATCAAAAAAGGGGAGAAAAGAACTTGTAGGTAAGATAAGAGGACGTGAAAAGCCCAAACCACCAGTGAGTATGGAAACACCTCCGTCTCCCTGAAAAGATTCAGTCAGTTGGGGGACAGCGACCTACGAGGACTAGCGATCCTGGTCAGACACTGGTGGACCTCCTTCAGCGAGCTCACACACTTCTTCCAAATAAATGCGTATTCAGCAGCCAGTCAATGCCGGGGAAGATACCCCATGTTGCCACTGAGCCCCTTGGACCAGAGGCAGAGGTCCTACCACGTATCCCTCAAGAGCGCGGAACTCACAACACCCAAGTGTCCAAATCAATCAAATGGAAAGAAACACGTCAGCTTACACGCACTCACACACCCTAACAGGCAGGCAGCCCTGCAAACGTATGGCAGCCAATCACCCTGACGCTAGGTCCCTAGTACTATCACACCAGACAGGCCAACTACAACCAAGGGATCCGCTCCCCAGGGGTGGAATGAGGGAAGGATACCCGACACCTCACAACCTTTCTTATGACCCAAAGTGACTTCCTGCATTTTCATCAGAAGCCAAGGTTGCTACTGACTCACGTGTCTAATACCTGAGACTATACTTCACACAGAGAACGGAGGTGTCTTGACACAAGGTCTGCCCTCTCCTCCATCACCACACTTCTCAACTTCTGATTGGTCCCTAAACCCTAACTCAGGCTTAAATGACAATGAGTCTGGGGAGGAGCCTCCTCACTGCCAGAACACCCCAAAAGCAGTCAGATTCTCTTCATACGACAATAAGGAACCGCTGGCAAACCATATGTGAAATCGGAATGTCAGCACCCTTGGGTCCAGCACCAGAGACTGTCACTGAGTCCTCCCACCCACGGCCCACTGACAGGGTAGACAGACAAATGCACTCATCAAGCCAACCCAGCAGGAGTGAGCAGAACTGTCCCACGGAGTGGCCGAGGCTATCACCTTCCTCCAGTGCAGTAGCTGGTGAGTTCGCACTGTCAGCCTTTCAGAAAGCAGCATGGTGTCACCAATGTGCTCTCTCCCTGTGAAGGAACCTGCCCCAGGCCACACAGGGTCCCCGGCACAGGTCTCTGACTTAGGGGAACCTGACTGTTCACTGCTGGTCCGTGAGGGATCATCAAGTACTCACCAGAACTCAAACTGCTAAGATGTGTACTTTTGGAAACTCATCGCATAAAATGCCACAAAGCAAAATAAAATCTAGGAAAATAATTAATTACATTTCCAATGTTAACATTCAAGAACTAAACTGCTCGAGAAGCTTTTCATAAACTAGTGTGAGTTTTGCTGTTTAGCAGACAAAAAATGTGAAATTCATATTCCTGGTCACCCAAAGGCAAATATTATAAACCCTTCCCTACGGAAATTTTCGGATAAAACATTCTCAAGAGATCAGGGTCCAGGCTGGGTGCTTGCAGCTGGTGAAGAGCTGCCCCGCGCCAGGATCAGCGCTTCAGGGGGAGGGGGGGAGGGGCTCAGCAGGCAGGAAAGGCCTGCAAAGAAACCTCTCTAACTGGTAGAACCCCAGAAGGTTACCACAGTGACCGACTCAAAGCCATTTCTGATCCTACAGACTCACACTTGTGCCGATGTGCAATAGTACTCCCAGCAGCACCAGGACCACCAAGGGGACTGCTCACTGAAAATGTCCACACAGCCGTCAGGAGAGAGCAGGGCAGAAGAGTGCGTGAGCAGACCACAGCCAGTCTCCCCCGCCCCCCCCCCCCCCACCCCCGTCA